AATGAATGCACGTCACCACACTAGTCCAACGCTAGTTGTGGTCCCTTTTCCCGTCGCCACACTAGTCCAACGCTAGTTGTGGTTCATTGCCTATTTCCACTAGTCCAACGCTAGTAGGAATTCATAGAATGGGCTAGTCCAACGCTAGACCCTTAGGAATTTCCCTTGGTTAGTACATGTTTGCATGTTCATTACATGTCATGCATTCTTTTTAGTTTTTATCATTTTGCATGCCCTTTGAACCCCTTTTCCCTCCATTTTAGGATTTTTGCATTTTATGCTAGTTATAGGGTTCATTTGCTTGAGAGTCCCCTTAAATATGGGATATAGACGAGTGTGGCTTTTTCTAAGCCTTAGCACGCTTGTATTCCCTCTATAAAAGGGCAAATTGAGTCACGATTTAGTTCTCCCCGTACCCAATATGCATACATTCCCTAGGATCATGCATCCATTCTACCATTTTATACCCTCATCACACTTTCATTTTTCTTCCCATTTTGCACACGTGCACCTTTATATTTTCACTTGCACACGAGCACTTTTGTCATTTCTTGCACACATACACTTCATATTATCATTTCATATACCGCACCTTGCCCACTCACGTGCACACTCTCACTTACACATTATCGTCTTTTATTACTTTTTCAAACTCATGCCTTCACATTGCATACATCCATTCCATTCATTTGCATCCCGCTTGCATTATTCGTGACCCCTTCAAAGGATCGTTATTGGGCTTCACAATTAATGTGATTGGCACCACTCAACCTTTGAAGAGAAATTTCCCTCAATACCCCTAGGTCTTGGGTTTGCATTCATGTAGTGCATCCAAATGTAATGAATTCTTTGATTAAAACAAGAAAATCTTTGATTAAATCAACGCAACTAGCCTTGGCTAGGTCAAAGGGGTGCCTTGGATTTTATCCTTGCCTTCCCCTTTGTCAAATGTGACTCCCGAACCTTCTTCTTTGGTTTACGTAGACTAGGAGTCGTTTAAAAAGGGTTTCTCACTATTTTTTCCTATTTTTCTTTAAAAATACATTTTTCAGGTGACTTGGTACACCTTAACTCATTACCAAGTGGCGACTCCGTATTTAGTTTTAAAAACCCTTTTTAAACTATAATTTTGGGTCAAATCGTCGCATTCTCAAACCCCCATTTAGACCCACTTTTCTTTTGAATCAAAATTCATTTTTCAATCACAAAAATACATTTTTTAAAGCCATTTATTTATTTCATCAAAAAATGGGGCGCGACACGACCCACTATTCAAGTTAAGGGTAGTGAAGGAAACTCCCATAATGAAAAAAGGGAAACGTAAAGAGAGATGTGAACATGAATTTGTTGTGGAGAAGAGAGAAAAGAAGAAAAAGAAAAAGGAGAATTCTCAAGCTAATCAGGCCGTAACTTGTAGAGTAACTTGTGGATACTGTGGCAAGTTTAATCACACTGAGATTATGGGCTGAAGGAAACAAGGAAATGCTTGCTATGCGGGAGTCCTAAGTATTAAGTTTTAAGTTGCCCGAGGAACTCCTCAGCAGCTCGTTAAGTCTACTGCAAAACAGTCAAGTGTTAGAGGGAGTGGTTAATATTAATGGCTATGAGAAGAACCAAAGTATTAGAAGCTCTACGAGTGAAGATGGATTTGACTTTGCTTAAAGACAGGGATTATGATTATAACCTAGCCTATACTGAGACTTTTGAAGGTTGTAATCTTTTGTGTAAGGGATGAAATCTTTTGTTGCTTTGAACATGGATGACTTAGCATGTTTTGCTACAATCTTGTTTATTCCCTTTTCTTTTGAAATGATTTGATAAATTTATCCTAACTTGATGAAACTATTATGGTCTTTTATAGCAAATAGAAGTTTACTTTGCATTTAATCAATTTCATGACTTATTCGTATATCTAAATTTTGTTACGCTTATAGCCTTGTGAGAAGGCCATGTCTATAATATTGAGGTTGGAATCAAGTGGATATTTGGAATAAATATCTTTTACCTTGCATAAATGAATCATTTGAGTATCTACAAGAGACAGTAGTACTTTCCAAGTTAGATTTAATACAGGACTACAACTAATTGAGGATTCTAGAGAACGATGTGATTAAGGCTAGTTCATCAGAAAAGTAAGCACTTTGAAATTCAATTATGCCATTGGGAGTAATAAATACACTAGTAGCATTAATGGATTTGGGTCTTTAAGTCGTATTTGGGTTAAAAATTGGCAGTAATACTCATAAATGACTTGGGGACTACAATAAGATATTGTTGAATGTAAGGTTTCATTTCGTTCTTCGATATTTGCATACATGTATACGGAACCAGATATGATTTTTGAAGTTATTGATTCTTGAGGGCTCTTACTATCTATTTTGAAAGATTACTAGGGTTAAGGTCCAGTAGGACAAAACTTGTGTGCTAATAAGATCTTATCGAATTTGATCTACGAGATATTTAAAGTTCATTGCGTATACCAATTTAAAGGGCTATTACATCATTTGTTCTTGAATTGACAAATTTCTTAAGGCAATTGAATCTGTGAACCGCACGAAGGAATTGTTATCTCGCTCGTCGTGAACAGATTAAGAATACAAGACTTACATGATATTTAATGCGGAATAAGTTTTACAATTCGTAAGAGTGGGATGCAAAAGTGACATCTGGAGTTTTTGAGTTAAGGTATGAATTTTGAGGACGAAATTCTCTTAAGGGGGAGAGGATGTGAGGACCCATAATTTTATTATTTCAAAATATTGTTAAATTGGTCATTTTAAAAATATTTCATACTCGAGTTACCCAAAAATAATAATAAAATAAAAATAAAATAAAATATACTAAAGTACATGAATTTCTCGAAAATAAATTTTTCTGATTGGTTCTTTATGCGCATATTATTTTAATGCCCAAATTTATTCAAGATGAATTGCTTATCGTGATTTTTATTGTTATATATATATATATACTTGGATTATCATATTTTAGAGTTTTAGAATCGAATAAGTTGAATTTCCAAGTTCAAACGAGAAAACCCTTAAGTTTGACCTTTATACGCGCGCGTGCCGAAAAGGCCTGACAGGCACATTAATTTGATTAATTGGAGATTTTAAGAACACAATATTAGACTACTAGTAATGTACTATTAATGTACTAGGGAAATTACCTCAGAGGTTTAGTGCACAAAAGTTGCAAACGAGCGCGAAAATTGGACACGCAAAGACCCTAAACGGACCTAGCATGAGTTGACACTTAGACCTAACCATTAAGTCACCAATTCTCTCCACTTTCATTACAATACCTGATTTCACTCTCTCTCCTCTTGTCACTCTCTAGTTGGCCGAAGATGGGAAGAAAAAAATCTAGCCAAAATCCTCACAAACTTGCTTCAATCCACTTCCAAATTTCATCATCCATTAGAGGGCTTTGATCCTAGCTTGGAAGAGGGGGCTGTTCATCGGTTTTCTTGGAGGAATTTCGGTCAAGATTTCTGCCCTAAAGCTGTCCAACTAAGTTCTTGAGGTAACTCACTCACCCACACTTCAATCTTGCAAAATTATAGCTCAAATGGAGCAAAGGTAGCATGGGTTTGCAACCTATGGTAGAATTTGGGTTGATTGGTTGAGTAATTATGTTCTTGCAATTCCATGACATGCTCGAGGGTTTGAGGATGTTTATTGGTGACTGATGTGATGAATTAGCATGTTGTGGTTGCTGATATTGTGCTATGTTACATGTATATAGAATGATTGATGGAATGAAGTTGGAAGAAAGTTAGAAATTTGGAGAAGGTACTGTCTGAAATTTCTGACTTGCTGCCGACTTTCTTGTTTGCTGCTGCCCTGTAATTTCGAAAATTTTCTGGGGCTAATTGAGCTTCCAAATTGGTGTAGATATGTTGTGCTATGTGTATTGTTGTTGTCTACCAAAAATCAACCCAAATGGTTGGTTAAATTTTGAGTTACAAGTAAAGAAGCAAAACTGGAACAAGTTCCAGAATTTTCTGACCAGCAACATTTGTGTAGCTATAACGTTTTCCTCGTTGATCGAAATTGAGTGCCGTTTGTGGCATTTGAAAGTAGACTCTTAGAGCTTTAAAATGGTACCAAGCTCATTTTCTAGTTCGTCCCGAGCGATTCGTGGCGAGTTTTGAAAGTTGGCTGCCTGTTAATTACTGTTCATCCGAGACTGTCCAAAAAATCCATTTTGTTGCTTGATTTTAAACCGCTTATGTCTAGATTTTGGCAATGATTTCTTCTGCATAAAAATATCCTTGTGAACCTAGTTTCTAAAACCACCAACCGTTTTCAATTTCACTGAAAATCGAGTGAGATACGGCCTAATTAGTGAAGTGCATTAAATCTGGAAAATAGGCCAACAGTCCAGGAATTTTAGCGAACTTCAACTTTTTATTTCTTGAGCTAGGAACATCGGAATCGACTTCCATTTCTTTCATTAGAAACCTGGATTGTAAATTTACATGCATATCAAATTTCAAAGGCTGGTTTTCATTCTATGATTTTTAACGAAATTCCAAAATTATTAGAAAAACTTGGACTGTTTTGACCTATCTTCAATGAATAGTAAACTTTCTTGGAGAAATTGACTTGTTTCTGATTTGATTCTTGGAAAGTGACCTTATACAAAGTTGTTATGCTTTGAATGAAGTTTTTGACGGTGTAAAATTTTCTATTTTAGACTTTCCGAACTTCCGGATTGATTTTTCCACGAATGACTTGAAAAGTGAAAATTTCCAATTTGGACCTAAATGTTCTTTTAAGGGCCTAGGTTACATTTTTACAACTCTTAGAGCATTTCAAACCTATTTTCATGAGTTCACCTATCACTTGAGACCTCATTTGAAAGTCGGTTCCTTATGAACTGAAATACTTTGGAAACTTGAATTGTGGAGTCAAAATTGACTATTTCTTTTCTTTACACGAATACTATATGGCCTGGAATTTGAGATACAATGCATTATTGCATACTTTCAAGATCTCAAGAGGACTTCGAGGGAACTCCCGGCGAAGCGTCTTAGAGCTAATTTCTCAAACTTTGACTTTTGATACTTGGTGAGTATCAAGTGCATGTGAAGTGTTTAAATGAAATGATTTTTGTACATGCTAGTTAATGAGGCTAGGGCGTACTTTATCGCCCCTGTCCTCTCTTTCATGAAATTGCTTGCTTGATAAGTGATACGTGTTACATGTGAATGCAAATGAAAGTGTTTTTCGTGAGCATTGAGCGGCAGAATGTATCATGCCCTTTTAGGGTAGGAGGTACCGCTCATCCCGTCTCAATGCTATGACCAAATCTTGTTGATTGGAGCTTCGTCTCATCGACCTAAAAGTGAATGGGGGGACGCCCCAACCCATTGGCTAGCCTTGTAACTCGAGCCGGCAAGGGTTTGGTCGAGAAACTTGGTGAACCTTGGGAAGTGTTGTAGCTTGATCCAAATAAGGGGTCTTGCTAGGTATACTTGTTAAGTGATAACACCTACATGCTTGTTTGGTTACGGATCTAAGAGGGTGTCATGGTGGCTGGAGGTAGTAAGTGGAGTTCTACATGGGTAACTGTGAAAGTTGACGGAGGGTCAACTACCTGAGCTTGGATCGCGCGTGGATTAGCTCCTGAGAGCTCCTGTATCCTTTTATTGTGATTAAATTTCCTAGTTGCTTAACGTTTCGCTGTTACTTGTTACTCGAGTTTATTGCTTTATATTGTGTCTTTGCTAGCATGCTTGTATGTTTTTCCCTTGGCCTCACTGAGCGTTAGCTCACCCCAATTTGTTCTCCTTAACAGGTTTGGAAGTGGAAGTTCTGAGGCTTAATTAGTGACCCCCCTTTTGGGTAGAACTAGTCGTTATCTTTAATTCTGGGACTCCATAGTGTAAAACTTATGATTATTTTGGGCTTTCGGTATTGTAAAAGTACATTGAAAATCTTGAATGTAATATAATAGCATGAATCGTTCTTTTACATTTTAGAGTACATGAATGTTTTAGTGGACTATTTCATGTGATATTTGAGTTTAATTTGTAATTTACTTGAAGATTGTAGTGAGTCCCGGCGAGAGTTGGGCAGACGGTCCGTCGAACCCTTTGGTTCGCCTTAGGGGGAGGTAGGGTTGTCACAGTATCAGCATGATCAGACCACATAGTCTGAAGAAAATAAAATGGCAGCATAAATGTAGGAATTCAAGCAAACCATAAGGCAATAAAAATAGAACTAAAAGGTAAACAGGAGAAAAGGCAATCAAAGTACAATGACAAGCTACAACCTGCAGTTAAACGAACCTCACCAGGTTGGGTTTGCCTATCTTAAATGATGATTCGTTTACCATAATCAAGAAAATTTGGGGATGAGTCTTAAGACAAACAGGCATATTCAGCCATATTAAGCATTCTGCAGCTTCAAACAGTAGGGAGTTTAACAGGGGATGGTTTTTTTTGTTGTTTGGTTCCAAGTCTTAAGACAAACAGGCATATTTTGCCATATTAAACATTCTCCAACTTCAAACAACAGGGGATGGGTTTTTCTATTTTTTCCCCTGTGATAGACCAGTTCTACATTATCTGCAACAAGTCTTTTGTTAGTCCATTTTTTTCCGAATCTAACCTATGCAAAATAATAATGCACGCCATCACTCAACCAACAGCTCTAAAAGCAAATAGAAAAGTTACACTAACCAAAATAGAAATCCAAACAAGAGGGAGAGGAAGTAAAAGAACAAAGAAAAGAGAAAAAAAGATAAAAGGAAAAAATGAAGGGAAAAAAGGAAAATATGTAAACAAAGAACAAGGCAAAAAAAAACCCAAGCAGTAAACAAAGGTACAGCAAGCATAAAAGGGGAAAAAAGGAACTGCGTAGAAGCCAAGAACAAGGTAAAATATACCCAAGCAACACAAAAAAACCATAAAAAACACAGAGTCAATGAAGAAACGAGCTACGTAAAAAGGAGTACCAGCAAAAAATGTAGAAAAACAGAGCAGCTGGCCGGAAAAGTTTCAACACCAGGGGACGAATCTCTCAGAAGTAAAATAACAATGTCCTTTACCCTGCAACAGCACTCAAGTAATTAGAAAAAAATAAGACTAAACATTCGCTTTGTAAAGGCCGGGGGAATAGGTAAGCAGACCCAACCACCAACAGAGCTAATGCTGAACAGAGGAAAAGGAAGAAAACCTGGGAAAGAAAGCAGCAAGGCGAATAATGCTAGGAGAGTAATAAAAGGCCGAAGAGAATAATGCTGGGAGAATAAGCTCGAACCCATTAATGCTCCGGCTGAAAAGCTGAAAAAAAGGCTGAAGAGTAAAAGCAAAAATAGTACAGTTATTAGATGAGGACGAAGGCTAGCTGGATTAGTGAAATGGGAGCGACCAAGGGCAGATAGGATGAAGGCTAGCTGGATTAGTGAAATGGGAGCGACTAAGTGCAGATAGCCTTTCGATATACAACAGTGGCAAACGTCATGGAAGAAGACAACAAAGCTAAACCACCAGCGAAAGAGGCGAACAACACAAAACGACGTCGTCAGGAACCACGCACAACGCACGTGAGAGGACGACAAAAACCATCCAGGTCATCAGAGCTCTTTGGCTCTTATTCTACTTATGTTGATAATAATAGTGCTAATGGAAGTGCATTAGAGATTTAGTGCACAAGTGAAACAAACCAGTGAGGAATCGGGCACGAAACGCGCGCGTACACGCACTATTGGAGAGTTGACTTTTGTGTCACATTAAAGCCCAACTACCAAGCTTACTCTAGAAGCTTTTTCATCAGCCACAACTCTCTCCTTTCTCTCTCTAAGCAGCCGTGCAACACCAAGGAAAAAGGAGCAAAAATTTCTTCGTCTCATCTCACTCAATCTTGCACCAAATCATCTCAAATTCCTATCACACCTTGCAAATAATTTGGAGATAATCTTGGGCTAGGAGAAGAGATTCATTCTCACGGTTTTCTTGGAGCTCAAAGGACCAAAAATTTCTGAGTTCATCATCTAAGGAAGTAGCTAATCATCCAACCCTTGAATCTTAGTTATAGTGAGTTTACACTACAAGAAATTTGGTTATTAGTGACAACATTTCCTAGCGACAAAAATTAGTCGTCACAAAATGGGGCCCATTAGCCACAATAAAAAAAGTTGTCACAATTGACTGAAAGGAGCAAAGGCATCAGTGATGACCTTGAATTGTCGTCACAGTTGGACTCCCACCACATCGCGCCAAACTACGTCAGCGACGACTATCTAGATGTTATCAATAATAATTCCCCTTTCTTTGACAACTTGGCTGTTGTTGTCACTGATAATAATGGAACTAGTTAGTGACAACTTTCTCTTGTCACAATCTGATTCAAAATATGTATATAGCACAGCAGTTGTTATTCAGTATTTGCTCTCTGATGAATTTTTTAACTATTAGGAACTCAAATTTTGTCATGTAAGTTAATATTAGTGCAATAATTTGAAGTGAAATTAACCATTTGAAACAAATCATCTCTCATTATTATAAAATAACAAAAACATTTCTGGAGTATTGGGCAAAAATAATGGAAAGAAAGATAAATAAGTTGTAATTTAGTTCACAATTTTGAGAAAAGTGATATCAATATCAATATCGGATCAACTGTTTGATGTCATAAAAAAATTAACTATTTGAAGCAGAACCAAGGTGCATTTACCACTTGTAATATTTCAACATAATTTTCTCATCCATTATGAATATTTTCACAAAAATATTTAAAAGTAGCAAGTAATATTATATTAGTAAAATATTAATTCAACTAAAATGTTGGAAACTAAAAAACTTTGATTGAAATTTTGGTACTGAACAAGTAAGGGGGAAATCTAAGGAATTGGAATTTCATTCAAAGTCAATATTTTGAGGAGAGGCGCGGAAACACTTAGAACACTTAGAACCAAATAGCCAACACTACCAGTATCCTAAAGCCAACACTACCAGTATCACCGAACAAAACACTACCAGTATCCTAAAGCCAACAGCCAACACTTAGAACCAACCGTAGCACACTGCTCCTTATCTCTGTCGAAACATCTCCTCGCCATCTCTTAATTGATCTTGGCTCAGAAATGATCAAATAGAAGACCACATTTAACAGCAACTCTCTACAAAAAAAGGTATGCCGATTCTCTTTTTCCTCCCTAATTTTCCCTCAAATGTTTTGCCCTAATTATTATTTTTTTGCCAAAAATTTCAGTCCAGTTTTTTGGGTTTCATTTGATTTATGGATGGAGTCATCTCCTCCTTTTGGATTCTACTTACTTGTGGGTTTTACCCTTGTTAATTTTTGGTCAACATTTTATTTTGGGTATGTATGGGTTCGTAACAACCTCCTAACATACAGGTTGTGGCTACACAGATTTAGCCCTTTCCTAATCCCTTGAGTTCCTCAACAATTGTGGCTACATAGGTTGTGGCTAATTGAGCTTGTAGAGGAGTTTGTGTTTTGCATTGCACACAGTCTTATTTTAATTCCTATTCGCAAGAGTATATTGAAACAATAAAAGTTCTTGATATATAGCTATCATGCTCTGTCCATGGCATAGGCCCTGAAGAAAATTGATAGAGATGCTTTGAATGTATTTTGGACTTTCCTTCTTGTCCAGATGGTAAACAACAATTTATGCGTACTTGCACCAAGAAAAGGAAAAAGAAAGAAAAAATGTCTTATGGCTAGGACCCATAATAACTCAATCACAGCAAATGCTGGATGAAGACTATCCTTATTAAGGAAATATTTCACCCGTTTTCTTCTTATTTTTGTGAAGACTCACAAAATTTAATATTTTAAATTCCATTTTGAGCTTACTTTACTCCGAATATTATTTTCTAATCTCATTAGACCTAATTACATGGATTTGTAGCTTGGTTATATTTTTAATGTGGCATGTTGAAAATTTAATTTTTGGAAACTCGTTAAGCGGGAATAGTAAATACGCGTTTGGAGATTATAGCTGATTTTGGGGTGTAATAAGCTTGGAAAATTAGAGACTTGCACGATGGTCCTAAAATAGGTATTTTACGTTTAAGAATTCAAGTGATAGTTATTAGTACCATCGTTAAAAGAGTTTCTTGGAGATTTCACTTTATCCCGCTTGAATTGGAAATACGCATTTTTATACGCGTGATTTAATTGAGGGACTTTAGGCCCTTATTTTGGGACAATTAAGAGTGAATAATATTTATATGAATATAAGTGCATTAGAGGTTTAATACACTAGTGAAATAAACTCGAGAGGAATCGAGTACAAAACGCGAAGGAGAGTTGACTTTTGGGCAAACATGGGCCACACATTGTAGCTTCTCTTGGAAGCTTTAATTGATCAAACATTCCCTCTCTCCTCACTCCATACCAGCCGGCCAAGGGAGAAGGGAAAACAACTCAAAGTTCTCCATTTTTCCATCTTCATTTCTTCAACAAAAACACCACCAAAATTTGACCATACCTAGCTTAACACTTGGAGATTGCATCTAGCTAAGAAAAGGAGCTGCTTTCCACGGTTTTCTTGAGCTAAGGAGAGCCGCAAATTTCTGCCTTGCACATCTAGGAAGGTAACCCACGATCAACCCTTCAAATCTTGCTTTAGGGATGTAGTAGTGCACATTTAAACTCATGCATGCATATGGGTAGCTTGTTTATGTTGGAAAATTGTTTTGTGGGCTCTATGAACTCCCACTTTGATTGGATGGACTGATTTGGTGAACGATGATGATATTAATGTTGGTTTAGTGCTTAAATTGGTGGGATAATGTTGGGTTGTTGATAGAAACTCAAGGATGGTGCAATGTGCAAAAGTGACTATTTTACCCCTGCCATG